TGAAGGTACAATTCTTTGAGGGGGGAATCTCTGACCATTCTCCAATGGTACTTAAATTCATCAATCAGAGAAAGCCATCCCACAGTTTCAAATTCTGTGAAATGTGGACACTAGATCCTGCCTTCCCTAGGATTGTAGCTGAGGTTTGGGATAAGGAACATGGTGGCCATTCTATGTATCAAATCATCCAAAAACTGAAGCAACTAAAGGATCCGTTGAGGCAACTAAACAGGAGGAAATACAAGTCTTTGGATAATCAAATAGATGAACTTAGATCAAAGTTACATACTCTCCAAGAAAGACTGAAGCAGAATGATTCCAACACTAAAGACCTGGAGATGGAAAAGGATCTAAAGAAAGAACTACATAATATGTTGAGAGCCAATTTCCTCATGAAAACCCAACAATCCAAGGTCGATTGGATATCAATGGGAGATCAAAATACTAAACTATTCTATGCTTGGATCAAGAAAAGGAAAATGCAGAACCATATATCCTCCATTGCCAATGCAGAAGGTGCTATTAAGGAAGGAAAGGAAGAAGTAGCAAAGGTTTTGGTTGACTATTTTCAAAAACAACTGGGACAAAAAGAGTATACAGATGACATTAATAAGGACGTTATGAATATGGGGAACTGTCTCTCTATTGAACAGCAAATGAAGTTAATAAACCCAGTCACTGCTGAAGAAGTAAAGAATTGTTTATTTGATATCCCAAATCACAAAAGTCCAGGGCCAGATGGATTCACAAGTGGTTTTTATAAAAACCAATGGGGCAAGATAGGGGGACTATTCACTAAGGCTATCCAGGAGTTCTTCCAAAAAGATGAGACCATCAAACAGATCAACACCACCAATATCACTGTCATTCCAAAAAAGGAGAAGCCTGAAAGTCCAACTGACCTGAGGCCTATTGCTTGTTGCAATGTGCTGTATAAGGTCATTGCAAAAATTATCTGTGGGAGATTAAAAACAGTCCTTCCTAACTTGACCAACTTGAACCAAGGAGCATTTGTGGAAGGTAGATAATTAGTGCACAACGTTTTGCTATGCCAAGAATTGGCAAGAGGGTACAACAGAAAGGGCGTATCACCCAGGTGTTTGATGAAACTAGATATCCAGAAAGCATATGATAATGTTAGCTGGAAAGCCGTGGAGCAAATTTTACATCATCTCAATTTCCCTTCCAAGTTCATTAAATGGATCAAGTTTTGCTATACTACTGCTACCTATTCTATACATATAGAGGGGGAGAGTTTTGGATTCTTCAGAGGAGGGAAGGGACTCAGACAGGGTGATCCCATCTCCCCTCTCTTATTTGTCCTTATTATGGAATACCTCACTAGAACATTCCAATTCTATGCACTTAATAAAGACTTCAGGTTCCATCCTATGTGTAAGTCTCTAAAGATCATAAATATTGCCTTTGCTGATGACCTTATTGTAGCTTGCAAAGCTGATGAGGGTTCTATTAAGATCATCATGAATGCTTTAGATCACTTTAAAAGTACCACTGGCTTGCAAGTGAACCATGCTAAATCTGAAGTGATTTTCGGGGGAATCTCCTATCATCAAGAGGGGAAACTCAGTCAGCTCATCAACATAAAAAAAGGGTCTTTCCCTTTCAGATATCTGGGCAGCCCCATAACCTCTTC